GTGGAAGACGGCATTCAACACCCCCTCGGGGCATTASGAATAYCTYGTAATGYCCTTCGGCCTCACCAACGCCCCTGCCATCYTCCAAGCTCTGGTCAACGATGTCCTCCGAGACATGCTCAACCGGTTTGTGTTCGTCTACCTAGACGACATCTTGATTTTTTCCAAGTCTCAAGAAGAACACACTGTCCATGTTCAGTCTGTGCTCCAACGTCTTCTTGAGAACTCCCTGTTTGTCAAGGCGGAGAAGTGCAAGTTCCACGTATCTACAGTCTCATTCCTGKGGTACGTTGTGTCCAAAGGCAGTCTCCAGATGGACCCGGCGAAGGTCTCKGCAGTCACCTCCTGGCCCATTCCTGACTCCCGTAAACAGCTCCAATGCTTTCTGGGTTTTGCTAACTTTTACTGCCGCTTCATCCGAAACTACAGCGCTGTGGCCGCTCCCCTCACGGCTCTCACCAGCTCTAAGGTGCCGTTCTGCTGGAACCCAGTGGCCAAGGCCGCCTTCGAGACCCTCAAGTTCAGATTCACCACGGCGCCCATTCTCCAGCTGCCAGATCCCGGCCGTCAGTTCGTGGTGGAGGTGGACGCTTCTGATGTGGGGGTGGGGGCGGTGCTCTCCCAACGGTCTGAGCCCGACCAGAAGATGCATCCCTGTGCCTTCTTCTCTCGCCGTTTGTCCCCAGCYRAAAGGAACTATGACATYGGCAACAGAGAATTGTTGGCGGTAAAGTTGGCTTTGGAGGAATGGAGACATTGGCTGGAGGGYGCGATGGTACCATTTATAGTCTGGACTGATCATAAGAATTTAGAATATATACGCACAGCCAAAAGACTGAATTCTCGCCAAGCMCGCTGGTCTCTGTTCTTCACCCGGTTCTGCTTCACCCTCTCGTATCGCCCRGGGTCCCGCAACACTAAGCCGGACGCCCTGTCTCGCCAGTTCCAGAAGGAAGGGGATTTGGTGAGGGAGCCGGTCAACATTCTTCCAYCCCCCTGTGTGGTGGCTACTCTTACCTGGGACATTGAAGGGAGGATAAGAGCAGCTACRGAGGGGCAGGCCAGTCCTAGTGCCTGCCCTCCCAACTGCCTCTACATTCCGGAGGCCTTAAGGTCGGAAGTCCTACAGTGGGCCCACTCCAGCAAGCTCACCTGTCATTCCGGGTCCCAGTGCACACGAGACTTCCTCCTCCAGCGGTTCTGGTGGCCCACACTAACTAAGGACATAGGGGACTTTATTAAGGCCTGTCTCATCTGCAATCAGCACAAGGCCTCCCATCAGGCACCTGCAGGGCTCCTTCGGCCCCTCCCGGTCCCACATCGTCCTTGGTCCCACATCTCGTTGGATTTTGTCACTGGCCTGCCTCCTTCCCAGGGCCACATCCTTACAGTAGTGGACCGGTTCAGTAAGATGGCACATTTCGTGCCCTTGCCCAAGTTGCCGTCAGCCAAAGAGACTGCCCAGTTGATGCTACTACATGTGTTCCGCCTGCATGGCCTCCCAGCCGACGTGGTGTCCGACCGGGGTCCCCAGTTTATCTCGGTTTTCTGGAGGGAGTTCTGCAGCCTGGTGGGGGCCACAGTCAGTCTCTCCTCTGGGTTCCATCCTCAGACCAATGGACAGAGTGAACGGATGAATCAAGAGATGGAGACGGCTCTGCGCTGCCTGGTTTCACGTAATCCTTCGGCTTGGTCCCAGCAACTCCTGTGGGTGGAGTACGCCCACAACTCGCTAACCAGCTCTGCTACCGGCTTTTCCCCCTTCCAATGTGCATATGGGTACCAGCCCCCTCTCTTTCCGGCACAGGAAAGGGAGGCCTCCTGCCCCTCAGTCCAAGCCTTCATCCGTCGMTGTYGCAGGACCTGGGTCCAGGCGCGGTCTTCCCTTCTGCGTTCGGGGAGGCGTCACTCTGCTGCTGCCAACAGACGGCGTTCCACAGCCCCGGACTACAAGGTCGGCCAGAAAGTTTGGCTCTCCACCTGGGATCTTCCTCTGCGCGTGGAGTCCAGGAAGCTGGCTCCCTGATTTGTTGGACCATTCCCGATCCAGCGTATAATTAATCCTGTTGCAGTGAGACTCCAACTCCCACGCTCCATGCGGATTCACCCGACCTTCCATGTCTCTAGGATCAAGCCGTTCCATGAGAGCCCGTTGGCTCCAGCAGTCATCAGTCATTCATCGATGGAGGTCCAGCATTTACTGTCCGATGCCTGATTCGGTCCCGCTGCCGTGGTAGAGGTCTCCAGTACCTGGTGGACTGGGAGGGCTATGGTCCGGAGGAGAGGTTGTGGGTTCCGGCGCGGCACATTCTTCACTCGGACCTCATCACTGTCTTCCACCATCATCACCCTGATCAGCCCTCACGGTCCGTTGCATCACCTGCTGAGGTGATGGAGTTATCCGACTCTGGGGAGTCTTAGTCAAGCCGTTCCTGTTTCCCCCTCCTCCAACCCGGTTGGGCGGTTCCGTATAGGACCTCAGGAGCCGTCCCTTGAGGGGGGGGTTCTGTCACAGTCTTCTCTGCTCCTCCCCTGCTCTGCTGCTCAGCCACACCCCTCATCAGTCTAACAGCTTTCACCTGCTCAAGCCAGTATATAAGCAGCCTCACTCCACTCACTCTTTGCCAGATTGTCTTCGTTCCCATGCCTGACTCTCCAGCACTTGTTCCTGGATTGCTTCCCTGGTATCGACCGGACTTGCCTCCGACATCGCCTCTCGTCTCTGCCCCGGTTAATCCACCAGCCTTCTGTCCCCGACCACGAGTTTGCCTGCCGGTTTTCTGTTCCTCGTCTGCCTGTGGCACTTGGCCTGTTCCTGCTCAACCAGAAGACCCACCTGATCAGCWTCACCTCTCCAGCTCACATCCTCTGGTCTGCTGTTTACCTGCTTAACCTGCTGATTAAAATAGACTGTGTTTCYGCCGGCCGCCACGGGTGGCCCTTAGTCATTGGAATGTACTGCATTTGGGTCCCGTCCTGATTGGTGATAAACAGCACCTGTCTGTGGCATCATTAATGTGTTGTCACAGTGTAGCCGGTCATTATAAATACCTGTTTCAACAAGTCTTCTTTTTTAAGACAAATATTTTACATTGATAAACACTTGAAACATCTTAAGTAGCCTACTTAAGATGTTACTTCCAGTGACTGAAAAGTAGAACCATCAGACTCATGTGTTTGACTGCAGCTCTAGATGAATGTACCAGTATTAAACTGTTGTGGAGAAGAACAGAAAGACAAGCCTCTGCTAAAGATCTTGGGGCAACAATTGTTTGTGTAACCAACAACAACCAGGCAGTGTAAGTGAGTATAAAGCAAATATAAATACTTCACTTACTAAAGCAATGTGGTTCTTAGTCATCGCTTCATCCAGTGTCTTCACTTTCTCAGGCACCATCACTCTACAGCTGAAATAATTAGCGGACTAATCAAACTGTTGGTTGGCAGAGAATTATTGGGAATAAATTGGCAACCGATATTTTTTAGAGAAAACATATTCACTGGTAGCTTCTCAGATGTCAACCTTTGAACCTTGTGACTCAACATTTTTAGGTTTTTGCCCGTTACTCAAACAACACAAGACATTTGATGTCAATGTGGGATTCAGCCTCAAATGATTTTCGGAAAAACTATTAGTATTATGACTTACTACAATTTTCTCTCCTTCAACCATAACTGTATGTCTAACGAGACACATAAGAAAAATCGGATCAAGCCACAGAAAAGTTATAAAACAGTAAAAAAGGAAATACTCCTGGTAAAGTGGAAGGATAATATTTGCATAAAATGTTCTACTCTGGAGAGAAAAGTACCAGAAATATTGTCGAAACTGAGGAAGACACCATGGGGACAAAATAATTGCTGAAGTTTGTTTGGCCCTGTTAACTCATGGAGTCACAATGCTGCACTCATGTCAAGAAATCCCCAAAAAGAACCAATGGAGGAAACTGGTTTCATCACCCATGCACAGGCAACCTAGTTAAGAAAGCAGGAAAACGCCCATTGCAATTACTGCTGTGACAGATTGATTCGTCCACCACGAAGGCCTAATGTCACAGCTTGCCAAAAAGGACATTTTTTATAAGTCATGCTTAGCTGGTCATGTTTAAAGAAGATAAGGGATTTGTGTGGGGGCCTCTGGTGGTCACTTTCAACCCTTTCGTCACTTTGAGAAGCACACAGACTATTTCAATATACTGTATATTACTATGGTAATAATATGTACTGCGCCAGGAATTTATGACTTAAAGAAAATAAAAGAACTAATAAGCCGATTATTTATG